GTCCAGGTTCAATTCAGAATCGTGCAAGAGATTTGCGAGGTATGATAATGACCAAACGCGCTTCTACCTCTAGATACTTAGGAACTGAGCGATTTTTTTTCCACCCATTGCTATGAGTGCTTTGGGGCTTACAAGAACCTCAGAAAGATGATTAAATGGATGGAAGATCTTAATTTCGAGGGCTAGTATGTTACTGCACTATGGCCGGTATGGAAGGTGCAAAACCGAATTGAACTGCAAGTTATATTCAGCACTAATACGATTGCTACGGCAGCAAATAGCATCAGCGTAGGATCAGGATGGGATTCCATCGCAGTAACACTCTGGGGATAAGCCTGGACGGACGGACATACTCATCCATCGTCCAATCACGGATCCGGTTGTAGTTGCAATGATGTGTGCGATACTACACCCATTCTCATTCACGAGCTTCAATGGGTGAGTGTTTGCAAAAGGGAGCACATGTAGGATGGGACGCTCCATCGAATTCCGCAAAGAACTATGTATACACTGATGGGCAAGCGGCCTCATGCCCCACACCTGTACTGGAACGTTCGAATTTTTCTTTGCAATACATGATGATTGACCCTTCGCATGATTTCCCCAACCCGTTACCAGGACTTCTAATCATTGGCTTAATACATGCCTACATGCAGTACTCCGTGGGGCTCATGGCTCAACTCCAGTCTCTATTGCCCACCAATACTATCCTTTTCAAGTCTGAGGGGTGGTGTATACTTCCTGCAAGATATTGTTCTGCTTTTTGCTACTGCTAGAAGGGTCTGAGGCATTTGGACTACCCACAGCTCATCCGTATAATCCCGAAGGTGAAATTATTTCCTGCATGCATAGACTCATGGATCAGTTGATTGGAAGTCCTTCAAAAAAAAAAATACTGCACTGGCAAATCATGAGGGTGACGTTCTGTAGGTGAGGAGTCTGCGTGCTTTTCGGGTTACTATGACATGATTGTGCTGCATGATATGGAAAAGTGTTTCCCTGGTCAATGCTTCTTCATGTGTATTCGATCCCGACCTTTCATGCGAGCAGACAGGGATGTTGACACTGATACCCTTACATCATGACCTGACCTCGACTCACGAATCTTTTCTCTGGGGCAGGCGCCCACTGCGACACATTCAGGCTCATACAACAGTCCTCAGTGTGAAGAAAAATGCTGCTCATTTCGCATTCACACAAAGCAATACTGATCAGTGGAGTGGTGTGGATATCTGCATCGGAGCTTCGACATATGCACATGTTCTCGGGATTCATTTTCTGAACAAAATTTCCCCTCCCCTCTCGTTCCCGAGAAGCTCTTATTCCCGTGGTGACTGCTCCAGCATATCATATGTCATCAACGGTGTAGCTTATCGAAAGCTGCTAGTGCCACGGGGGCGACAAAAACATTACTCGATTAAGCTAGCACAGCCCATCCAATCACTTCACTGCAACAATTGGCGATAGCGGCCCCGTTTGATGATTCGCCAATGTGAGAGGATACCGTCGATGACCGCTTGCTGCCTCTGAACTGTGCCCCTGGGACATTCCTGCCGTCCTTATCGGTAAAATAGCTTTTGGCTTGTGATTACAGGCCAGTGACACGATGTGTTTGCATTGACAACTCCCCTAACTTTCAACATCCCTTCCTTTTTTTATCACTAGTGCTGTCCCTGCATGGCCCTGAACTGATGCAAAGGGCTTCCACACCATGTATCCTTTCCCCCTCCCTTCCCACCCCTTCTAGAATTCGAATATTTCGTTCCTGCTGCACAGCATGCAACAGATCGTTTTTCTTTCCTTTCGGGTCTCCTTCACGGAGATTCGATCTTTTTTTCTTTTTTTCTTTCCTTCTTTCGCTTTTGAAGAGTTTTGATTTTGGTCCCTGCCATGCCATGCCACCAGCATGAGAACCACCGCTATCAACCTCAACGTGTTCGGGATTCACCATTTTATATTACCTTGCTTGCAAGGTCTCTTGCATGTCCACAATTCGTGGGAATTCTGCAAATGTATTGACCGCTTTTCTGCACGTGTCCTTTCCTCCAATGGATCTTCCTGGCTCATTTGTCCCACAAACTCTGTAGCGCAAATTTAGGCCCCAAAGGTGCTGTGCACAAGATCCTCTGTAACCTAGGGTCACCATGACAATATGACATATAATTCGGACCACTTTCACTATAGTACCGCTCAGGCAGTAAGGCAAGCCACCTGGCCCCTCTGCAAACAATCGATTGTTATCTTGAGTGCTTGTAGCTAAAACTGTTACAACTATGTTAACTCAGACTTCAGACACCCAGTCGGCTCCTGTAAGTACAAGTTTGGCTCACTGCACATTCGTCTTCACTCATTATTCCAATCTCAGTTCGAAACTCACGTGCATCTCTCCAGATGCGATTGTACACTCTAGAAACCTTTCCTATGTGCAATCCACACATGTGCGACTCTCAGACGCACACCTGTGCTGATTAAGCTGTTCTCACTCGAAATTCACATGCCCGCACGCACCTAGAAATGCGCGCTTGTACCCACTCCGCTTTCTTCTCTGTGTTCACAGCTCCCCAGGCTCAGACCCACGACTTTTGGGCCTTCCACACACATCTTCCACGTCCCCCACCTGCTTTTTTTGGCAACACACATGATATTTGCGCCTGCGCACACTGAGAAACTCGTGCCAGCACATCCTAGTCCAGCCACATGCAATATTCACGCGCTGATGGCACTCTACCTGTGTATTTGCCCTCCAACACTCTCTCTTGCACACAGCTGTGGAAACTCACCATGTACTGGCTTGATGGTAGGGATATGATTCTGCCTTGGGGCGGTGAGGAATACTGGGAGACACCTGAACACGATGAGGTGATAGAGAAGGCTCACAATGCGATAGGAGTCCTTGCTGACAATCTCAAGGCTTCTGTTGTTTTGGGTGATTGCACACAGTGGTGGATTTCTGCATGTGAATATATCAATGCTGTCATTGGGATCGTGCATCGCGAGGCTTTGTGGAGTTATAGGGACGAGGGCGTCAGGTATAACACATGTAAGGATGTGTTTGAGTGGCTGGACACCATTTACGCTGAGTGGACTTCTATTCCTATGGTCCGCTTGTATGAGCTTGCATGCGAGTGCTATCTGAAGTCCCTTCCAACAGATCTCATTGTCCCTCTAGCCTTTGCCACATTTCACCCATCCCTTTCCCCTCTTCCCCTTGATCTTGTGGCCGACTCTGCACAAGCCAACGACGAGCCAGAATCGGATAAGAAAAACAAAGGTGGGAAAAGTACTTAGTGTGCTCTTGCCACCACAGGCGGCATCCACCAATCATACACCAGTGTAAAGTGGGCATGAGACAACATGACACCAGTTGGTTTGATGGGGTATAGGAAGTGCAAAGTGCATTCGTTTAATCGGATAAAGCTAGGGGAATGAAGAGCATTGGCAAAGCTAACTGGTGGTGGGTAATGGTGAATGTAGCGTGCTCATGGCAGACAAAAAGAAAAGGGAAAAGAATACCCGTGTGCAGAAAGATATTACCAGTTTGAGGGAAAGATCGATGATGTTGGCAGAAAACATTCCTGTTCCGCTAACTTCACATGCAAAAGCCTTATCATAAGCAAGGTCAGGGCCAAGGGGGTGTCGGCATTTCCCGGTTGAAAGGTATGCCGGGGGGGGGGGGTTCATGATGGCGTGAAGATGCAACTTCATGTACTTACACAACTGCAGTATAACGTGTAAAAATGCCATTCTACTAGTTAATTCAGGCAAGAAGGTCACAGCAAACGTGGAATTACACTTCGATTACACTACTTTTGGGCACGACGCCGCTTCTTGGGCTGGTGGTCAGGACATTTCCAGTTTTCCTCTGCCTGACGCAGGTCAACACACTCTAAATGAAACTATCAAGTATTCCAAGTAAGAGAGTAATCTTGTGTATCATGTAAATAATAACGTACCCAGCCATACTCGCACCCAATATGAGCACACTTAACCGTTTGCCCTGCTGCTATCTCATTCTCGGATGGCGATTCACCACAGCAGCATCCACCAAAGATATCCTCTTCTCCAACAACTCGTTGCTGGCAGCCAGATCTAGTCCTTTGCTTCGTACCAAAATGGGCTTTGAGATAAGTTAGTATGCAATGTTGAAGGAAAGAGTTGAAAGGACTCATGCCCGAAATCGTAGTTTGCAGGGGACGCTGGACAGGCGCTGGGTACATCCTCTGGATCAGAGATTGGCTGATCACCCGATTCCCTATCCTCCAAGTCAGGGCTCCCTACGTTGGCCTGGAGGTCCACAGGTGCGTGGTCCATATCTTCGAGTGTCATGGCTCTGTGAAGCCTGATAAGCGCTATCATAGTTTCGAGAGTTAACGGGATCGGTTACTCACTCAAGGACTATCCGAGAGCTATGAGCCTCTGATATGGCGAGTGTGGTGGGCTGGCTGCTTGAGCCGATCGTCCATCTACTTGATGACCTCTGTAGGGATGGGGATATCTTCTCCCATCTCGCTCTCATTCTTGACATTTCCTCTGTGGAAATTGCATAGTCCAGTGAGTAGCGGGCTGAGTTAGAAGGATGGGATAACATCAAGTGCTCATCCATATTGTATTTCCACACAACCGCCTTGCATAATGGACATTCCACTGGCACATTTGAGCATGGCGAGTGCGAAGTAGATTTGGATGCGGGTGCATATCTGAACGACGAGGTTGGTAAGTGGTTACACTGAGATGCATGTAGATCAATTCAATAAGGTTGGCGAGCCTTGATTATGAGTTTAAAGGTACATTGGCCAGAGGGACGAAGACAAAATCCACATGGTTGATCTGAGCGTGCCAATCGGCCATCATAAAGAATGTGTGCGCCCATGTGCGCCAATAGGCCAGATGACTTATTGAGGTCCAAGGAGACGTTGCATAGAGGACAGAGGTTGCCATGGACGTCAGATATTGGTCGATCATTGCCTGGGAATTCCCCAGCAAAACAGGCACTGTCGTCTTCAGCTGATATTAGCATCCGCAACCCCTGACTGAATCGTCTCAGGCTTACCAACAGGATTCCTGTAAAGAAATGTAGGAGATACCTTTGCCTTTGGTAGGTCAGACATTCCTTGGAGTCCACAGATGCTCAACAGTGATGCCGCTAGCCCCTGAAGTTCTGTTTTTGTGAAGATAAATGTTGCACGACCAGCCACATCATCTTGCTGGATAGTCGGATTAATGGGATGAAGGTATGCTCCCTTCATCTTACTGCTCTCCATTTCCAGTTTCCAGTCTTTCCATGGCCAGTCCTCGTTGCCCTCATAGGTCGTCTTGCTTTTCAGTGTGAGAATGTGGAAACTGACCTCAACAACGCGTTCAGAGAGCATTGTCAAAGGTATGGCTTGAGTTCCTTGCCCATCGATTTTCAATGCAGATATCTGAACCACAGCCAGGAATGGGGTGTTTTCAACAATGATGAGGGTCACTGCCGGATCCCCAATGCAAAGTGTGTCACCGAAGCTGCTGTCATCAGCATCAGCGTCGCTTGTTGCGCTGGTAGGTGTAACTGAAAATCGGGTGAGCCCAGCAATTCGCTTCTGCCAATCTAGGGATCCTTTTTGATGGACAATACTCTGTAACAGGGCTTTCAATGCCTGTGCTTTATGGATTGTCTTCTCTTCTCCAGTTTTTTCGTCACAGATTGAGAGGTAGGATGAAATACGTGTATGGTCATCGGTAATGTCCCCCAGAATGTCCTCCAAGTCAAGCCCAGCATCGGGTCCGTCTCCTATAGGATTGGCTGTGTCTTCCAGCCCCCTGTTCACACCAGTCACAACGTCCAGAGCGCCTGTGCTTGACCCTGAAGACGAGATGACCGTAGCATCTCCGACATCATCCTCATCCTCCCTTTCAAGATCATCATTGCTTGCAGCAGATGGATTTATATCGAGTTTCACGATTAGGTGTCCAAATGGTGAGAGCATATCAATCCCTCCGTGAGTAGCAATGTTGTTGATTTGTCCAGCAATTTTACTGTCAACAGTCATAGCAAGTGAACGCCCATTCATCCAACATGTCAGGGGGAGTACATATTTGATGCTCACGTCCCCCTTCCAGAGTGCTGGTGTGATATGGTCAATACGCTGCGATTCCTTTTCCAGTTCTTGAAGGGATGGTAGCCTCAGACGCTGTGGACTCCGGTCCCATTCCGGATGGTGAGCAAGTATGTTTTGGATTTCAGTTACATGCAACAATCGGGTTGATAGCTGAAGTGTATCAGCATTTGCATCATTCCCAATCATTGTGCGTAAAATACCAAATGCGATCTCGAGGCGATCTGTTCCAAGGAGAATGATATAGAATTTCCCATCTTGATTGTAAGTTTTTTCTTTCGCTATGCAAAAGAAAACATTCTTGACGGCAATCTGGATGTCAACATAGAGTTGTGTTGGCATAAATCGTCCCTTATTTGGATTTGCCCTGAAGAGGACCAGGAGCAAATGTGCGGCAGCACTGAGATGTTCAAGTTGCTGCCAAAGACTAAGTGTTATGTCGATATAGGGTCGCACAAACAAGAAACAAACGTGACCAAAAAGGTAGAGAGCACAACACTGGGCTGTCCTGATTGGATCCTTGTCATCGGTAATTAAGGGAAGCTCCCAGATGGCCTTCAGTAACTCAATAGCCTTCGGTACATCTTGTTTATCAGCTGGGTTCAGCAAAGCCCGGATTGTTGTGAATGACAACCCATTTTGACGAAGGTGTTTCTCGAGGATTTGCGGAGTGATGATTGTGTCAAAAACATTGAAACCCACTGGGTGCAGGGTGAGTGTGCGTAATCTCTTGAAGAGATGCTTATAGTCCTTATCACAGGTTATGTCATGTTTACCAACAAGATGGTTGAATAATGGAAGGGGGGAAAGTAAGGGATAGATGGGGGATGTATCGGAGAGGGGTTCCTTCAGTGTGATCTGGGCAAGTGCGGCCCCTCGACACGATTCACCATCAGATGCAAGACTGTACAGTGGACCCTTCAAGTCGTTCCTGCATGCCTCGATAACAACTTCAATTAATTTGGCATGGCTGCTAGCGTTCTTGCGCTTGCATGTGGGCGAAATTAGAATCGGACGGGAACCATATATCCTTGCAGATGATGACAAAGAGCCCACGGCTCCAATGGTAGCCTATAATGAAATAAATATGAGATCATTTGACTATCTTTGTTACTCACCTCCACTGCCAGGTGTACCGCTCCATCCCGGACCCCTTCAAATAGGTGATCGGCTTCATCAGCACTCACATACTCAAGTGCAAACCCACTACTATGCTCACGGCATACCCCAACAATGTTATTGGTGGATGGATCATACCGCGAAACTTCTTCAATCTTGATCTCATCAAACATGAGAATGTAAGCCCCAAGAATGTCATTATGCTGCTTGATGTGATCCCCACTCCCAAAGGTCCTGGCAACCTGTGAGACCGAGAGGTTATGATGAAGTTCATGGGCAGTTGGGAGTCCGGTTGAGATGCGGAGTGGCTCTGTTGGTCGATTGTGCTGAAGTGTGGTGACAGCAGGGGTGCCAAGGGCATTGTGTGCAATGCTCGCCAATCGGGTGCCTCCCAGCCGAAGAAACAGTAAGCCCAGTTCCATTTCTTGCTCAGTGAAGGACCTAGCTGCGTACACCTTCTTTGCCGCTTTCATAAAGAGCTCCATGATTCTGTGCACACCCATCCTCCTCTTCAATGCTACTCGCATCACAGCATCGGCCTGCTTGACATCCCCAGATGACACAATCATGAGCAAGCGTTTATGCTCATCAATTGCCCGTGTCTTTCGTCCTAACTGCACATTGGCATTGAATGCCAGAAGCTGATGCATTGCCAATTGCTTCTGTGCCTTCACCAAGGCCTGACGGAGGGTACCCCATGACCAAAGATGATGGTTTGCAGTTTGTGGTGTCCCATTTTCAATATGCTTTCTAATTCCCTTTACTAGCTTGGAATCTGCTAACATGCGGCATTCATGGCAAGTTGAATGATTGCCAGGTGCGACCCTGTGGCACTTCCGAGAGCGAAGGTATAAAGTGTCATTCTGAATCTCGAGATCCCAGTGGACACGATGAGCAGCATGCAGGCCAAAGGGATAGACATAGTAAGGTGACTGGTTTGTGGGAATATCTAACTTCTGTGCCATGCAAAGCCTTTCAGCACTGCTGTCCATAACACGCAAGTTTGGTATGATCTTGATGTTGTCTTCATCGTCACTAACCAAGATGGGACTTTCGTTTTGGGGTGAGGATGGTGCCATATCCAGAGGAATTCTGCTCAGCATGCATTTGAGAATGGGATACAGTGAGTTAAAACAAAATGCCTACAATTGTAGCATTGCTTCTGATAACTTCTCAAGTTTGGTGTCAAATAAGGTGGGATTCAAGCCCCGCTTGCAGACAAACCATTCTAAAAAGCCAACTAGCCCTTCAACTCCGTGAGCTCCCCGTCGTACTTTACTGATGATCATCTGAACTGGGTCATCCCATCCAAAATGGTATGTAGCACCGGATTATTGTGTTCCCAATCCTCTAATGTATCCTCACTGCAGTTTGCTCCTGCCCAGGAGGATGGGTCTGGTGCCCCTAACGCCCAGATTGCATCACCTTCACAAGCAGCTGGAACAGAGGGAGGAAGGAGAGTGGCAAGAGTGCGGGCCCTCTCTAGTGGGCTGAGTTTTTCTGTGTCATTGAGTGTGGGAAGTGTCATCTTCTTGTCAGGGGACTGAGGAGAAATAGGGATAGGTGGCTTGGGTATGTTGGAGTGGGTTGACAGTTCAAGGGATGGTGTTGGCTCACAGCGGAGTGGCAACGGCATGTCCAGTGGTGCAGTGGCTTTTGTGAACCATACACTGAAGTTTTTTGCCTGGGCTGCGACTCTTTCCTGCTCTCCAGCTTTTTTCTGTCTTTGTAAACATTCTGCACTGTTCATATGGAATTTAAGATTTGCATCCCCTCCCATGGCTACATGAACTTGTTTCTTGCATAATGAGCATTCTTGAAAGCCGGGATCTAGCACTGCAAGCATTAGAGAGGTGTTTTGGAGGTGTTGGCTCAATGTTTTGTCAATGTTCGATGGTACAGAGAAGGCGTCGGTGATATCCCTTGCCTTTTTTGGACATTACAGTGATTGGCCTTCAATATTTGGAAGGTCGCGTGTGTGTGTGTGTGTGTGGGGGGGTAGCAGCCCGAAATTTGGGAAGAAACATAACTGGCATACCTTTCATCTACACATTTCTGACACCCTGTTACAGGAATGGGTTCCGGGGAACCCAACCTGAGCCGTTCGGCTCACTAATGGAGGTGGCTGCGTAGCCATTGGAGGGAGAGCGGAATAGGATGAGTGTACGGAAGTACAACATGTGTGTCGGCCAACGGTAACTTGGCGCTCCTGGGAGCGTACCGGTAGCGAGTATGATGTGGGCTCCTTGAGGGAGCCACCTGGCTGTCTGCTAACGGGGACTTGGTGCTCCTGGGAGCGTGCCGGTAGCGGGTGTGCTGGGAGTGTTTGGCTAGCGGTGACTTGGCGCTCAATGGAGCGTACCGGTAGTGAGGGATACTGGGACTCCCAAAGGGAGTCACCCAGTTGGTGGCTATCGGTGACTTGGCACTCATGGGAGCGTACCGGTAGCGGGAGTTGTTGGGGAAAGCGGGCTGGTGGACCAGTGCACGGTAGTGGGTGACCGTGGGAAGTGGGTCCCACGGGTGCGTGGCCAGGCATCCTGGAGCTGCCTGGACCGTATCCTTCTCCTGAGGAGGTGGGATAGGTTACAGTTCCTGATAGGGAACTTCTGGTTGGATGGGGGTAACCACTCAACCACCCGGTGGACTGGTGGGAGTGGGCAGCAGGAGGTTGGGCGTGGGAATGCCCACCTTGTTGCGGCTTTGTCATGGAGAGGAGGAATAGGGAGGTGGACATGGTTCCAGGGTTACAGGTTGAGTTTACAGTGGTGACACAATGGTGAGGATGTTACAATTGCGGTACAAGGTTTGTGGGTTATGTATTTGATAATGAACAACATCCTCGGCATTTGCCTTTACATGTCATATGACTGGTTTCTATCTAATATCAAAGTCTCAATGGTCAAGGGAAGTCCCTTGAAACTTAACAATTCCCCCAGCCAGCACCAAAACCCAGTGGGAAAGCTTGGCATGGAGTTTGACAGAGAAATATAATGGAGGGCAGAGACAACCTACCTACTTGCAGTCACGGACCATAAGAATCTAGTCCATCTCTATAACACACCCCCTTGGTCAGGGCTGCACAGCAGCCATTTCTAGTAGATAAATGCTTTTGGAACTGCCAGCAAAGCAATGCATGATGTTGATGAATCATTTCTCAGCATCAACCCTTCCTATCGATCCTGCCCGTGGGGTGTTCATGTCCATTTTTGGGTTTACACTTGTTTCATCCATCAATCAATTTTACCCTCACTGCCGTATTGCTACCGCCTATACCACAACACAACGATAACAACAACAACAACAAACGCTAAGTACCCCCCGTTCCCTCTTTCATCCTTTGCTGCCGGAGTTGGGTCGGCATGATGTATCACCAAAGAAATAAGGTGATGGTGGCAAAGGAGGTGGACCGGCGCTGTCATCCCATGGGTGCACACGTACACACGGTGAAGCTTGTCTGCATGGCACGGGAGATGGTACCCGCCTGATACGGTTGTGTTCAGTGGTACCCGTACCGTAACCAAGATATATTGTCAACAGCATCAGATAAGCCGATCATACGTGAGTTTCTGATACTCGTTCATGCATATGATCGTGTACATGATACATATTTTGAAATTGTACATGATTTTCTCTTCAGGGCTAGAAGCAGGCCAATCATGACCAAGAGATATGTTGAAGCCAGCACTCTGAGAATACCAACATGGGAGTGTCGTGTGAACAGTTGCTCTTACGCTGCGCACACAAGCCTTCTGTGGTATATGCACTTTTGATGAGGTCGTAATTAAGTATGCGTACAGTGTGCCTAAGGGTTGTACAATATGCAATATTTTCAGTGATGGTGATATACCCACAGACCTAACGTGTGATATACGTTTTGGATGCTAGTTGGGGTTGAAAAGGGGGGGGCACTGATATGGATCCAAGTCCACATCACCTCTGGACCTCCACCACCATACCTCCACCTCCTCAGACCCCTTGTTCAAAGGAGATGGGCCTGCTCATTGTTGATAACTCTCAACTTGCCTATCCACTGTCAGAGACCAGATTCGAGACGAGGGAGAGTCTCCGTGACGGAGGGCTTTGGCCTCAGCGACTTCTGCCAAGAGCGCTGTGCCTAGTGACATGTCCGTGCCCTAACTTACTGACTGGCAATCAGAACCGAAGGGGGGGGGTAACTCTAGTTGATTTTATTACTGGGGTGTAACCTATGTACAAGTGGGATATATATATGGTTACAGCGAAGACGGGTCCGCAATTGGCGGAGCCAAACGGAGTGGAGCTAACGGGGTTTAAACATTAGCCGACTGAATATTACCGACGAGTTGGGTCACGGGGTTAGCGGAAAGGCAGGCGATAACCCAGAAACGGAAAGGAGGGATAGGCCCGAAGGTGGGCTCTGCAGGGCAGGCAAGTGTATTGTCCAGCGGAGGCAGGAGTGCACTAGCGGACGTCGGAGCTGTCCGGAAGTCTTCGGGGCTCCGTACTTAGGGAGGCGTAGGTAATAAATTGAAATGAGGGGGTGGTGACCATCGAGGGGTACCGAGAGGATTGCGGAATATGGGAGCTCTGAGGTTAGTGAGGGAGGAGCGGAGTTAGACCAGAGGGATCGGAGGAACCGGAAATCGATGGCCAGGGATGGATATGACAAAGACCACATGAGACTCTACTCCATGCTGAACCATCCAAGTATGGGGTTGCCATTCTGGGAAATGCTCCATGGGTGAAGAAGGAAGGTAGAGCATCACCAACGGGTAGAAAAATGGCTGGGTTGTATGTGTGGTTATGGAGATCTGGAGAGGGGGTGAAATTGGCAGTGTGGTTGGGCATGGGAATTTGGCTTGGGGCTGTCGGGAATGATGGGAAAAATATAGAAAAATAGGGAATGGTTGTATGGGGTGTTGGATAGTGTGGGGATGAGCAATGGAAGCGTCAGAGGGTATGTGGTGTATGTTGGTGGCCAAATTCCACAGAATCCGACTTTTTGTGGTGCACGGAGTTGTCCCCACAACAACATGCACCCCTGACATGGGGTGGGGGTGCAACTAGGTTTAACCCTTCTTCTGCTGTCAGGGCCCAGCCCTTGTTCTGTGATGGACCCGGGGGATCCTTCTAGTTGCTGGGGTATCTGTCCCAGTCCAAGGTCCTCAAACTCACTGAGGGGCTAGCCCCAGCCTTCACAGGAAATGAGTTGAGAAGAAGGGTAACTGTCAGGGTCGCGTCCGCGGTCGAGGCGGTCCGGGCGTAGCGTCCGGTGCTGAGGACCTCACGGGGGGTGGATCGGGCGTGCGTACTGGCAGCCCCGATGTGGGACGGTGATCCCTGGCCACTTAGACTGAAGTGGGAATGTTGAGAAGAAGGTTACTTCTTCGGTTCCCACCCCAGGTGTGTTTATATACATGCGGCTTGGGTCACATGAGGTCCGCCACGTCACCCCGCATACAGCCGCAGTCACCCGGGTGTCCCCATGGGGGATCCCGAGGGTGTATGCTGCACGCGCACGCACTAGGTTGCACCCTAGAGCCGTCCGGGGTCGTCCGGGGCTAGGCATGTCGTGTGTGCGTCGCAGGCGGGTCAGTAATACATGGATATAAGGGAAAGGTCGTCCGTGTGAAGTAGAAATAGAAATAGAAATAGAAATGGAAATAGGAGTGGAAGTGGGAGAGGGATAGAGGGGGAAGGGGTGTGAAGGAGGGGTGCAGGGTGGGAGAAGGGGAACCGGGTGAGGTGGGCCCGGGTGGAGGCGGGTCAGGCGGGTGTGCCCTGACAGTAACCTTCTCAACTGTCAGGGCACACCTGCCTGGGTTTACCTCACCTGGTACCCCCCTTCCTTCCCCCTTCTTTCATTCCATGTTCTTCTTTCCTGTTCTTCCTCCTTTCTACCTTCTCTTCTATTTCTGTTTCTATTTCTATTCCTATTTCTATCTTACATGGACAACCTTCTTTTATATCTATGTACTATCAACCCACCCATGATGCACACATGACATGC